TCCCACAATTCATCTGGTTTTCAGTCATTGGTATTCATTGTATCAAATTTATTCTTCAAATGTTCTCTGAATTCAGGTGGGATATAATCAAGGTCACATTTGGTTCTCATGGACTTGTTTTAATTGTCTTCAGATTCAACTTGAACTTGCATATGAGCAGTTGATGGTCTGTTCCACAATCAGCTCCTGGCCTTGTTTTGGCTGAAGATATTGAGCTCTTTCATCACCTCTTTCCACAGATGTAGGTGATCTGACTCCTATGTATTTCATGTAGTGAGGTCCACATATATAGCTGCCATTTATGTTGCTGACAAAAAGGTATTTGCAATGAATAAGTAGTTGGTCTTGCAAAATTCTCTCATGCAATCTCTGGTATCATTTCTATAACCAAAGCCCTATTTTCCAACTACCGGTGATTCTTGTTTCCAAGTTTCACATTCCCAACATCAGTAATAATCAGTACATCTTGATTGCATGTTTGGTCAATTTCAGACTGAAGAAGTTGGTGAAAATCTTCAACTTCCTCATCTTTGACTTTAGTGGTTGGTGTGTAAATTCGAATAATACTAGTATTAATTGGTCTACCTTTTAGGCCCTATGGATATTATCTTATCACTGACAGCATTGTACTTCAAGATAGATCTTGAAACGCTCTTTGTGGCAATGAATGCTACACCATTCCTATTCAATTTGTCATTCCTGGCATAGTAGACCATATGATTATCTGATTGTTGCCTAGGATATCAATCTTCATGTGTTCCATTTCATTTTTGACAACTTTCAATTTTCCTGCATTCATACTTTGTACATTACACGTTCAGGTGATTAATGGATATTTGCAGCTGTTTCTTCTCATTTTGAGGCATGCCCTATCAGCAAATCAAGGTCCCAAAGCTTTACTCCATCCGTGTCATTAAGGTCAACTCTACTTTGGTGAGGCAGCTCTTCCTTGGTCATATTCAGACCTGGGGCATCATCTTCTGGCACTGTATCAGACAATGTTTTAGGGCTATTGAAACAGTTCTCCAGTACTGTATTGGACAGTGTTGCACTACTATTCATATGGTTTTCACTGGCCAGTTCTTTGAGAATTCCCCCTTCGTTCTAATGAGTCTGTCTTAGTCTGGAAGCTCTGCTGATATCTGTCCACTATGGGTGACCCTTCTGGCATTTGAAATACCAGTGGCATAGCCTCCAGCCTCACAGCAACATGCAACCCACCACAGTACGACAAAGTGACAGACAATTTAGGGTTTCCAAAGATATTTTCCAAGTTAGTAGATTGTCTTTTCACTTTTTTGGTAAAGTCTTTTGATGAACAAAAGTTTTTAAGTTTGGATGTCCCATTTGCTTAGTTTGTCATTTGCTATTTGTGCTTTTGTTATTGTATTAGAGAACCCTTTATTAAAAGCTAGTCCTGACAGTATTACCCTGCATTTTCTTCTAGGAATTTTATGGTTTTTGTTTTCACTCCTTAATCCATTTAATTTTTTTTTTTCATGTGTGAGGCATGGGTCCTATTTCATTTTTCTGCACATGGAGGTCTAATTTTCCCAACACTATTTATTGAAGAGACTCTTCTTTCCCTATTGAATGGACTTAGCACCTTTGTCAAAACTAGTTGACCATCGATATATGGGTTTATCTCTGGATTCTCAACTCTATCCCTTTGGTGTCTATTGTTATACCAGTGTTAGGCTATTTTGATTATTGTAGCTGTATAATATGAAAACATTTTTTATGATTACTGTGGGAGAGGCAACAAAATATTCAAATCAGCAATGCATTGGCAGAATTCTCTTCTCTGTGGGCCTTCACTAGGTAATGAATAGAGAGAGCAAATAGGTTATATATCTCTTCCTTCTAAAACAGTGATCCTGTTATGTAATATTTTATTTGCAAGCAACTGGAAAGCAAGAGTTGTGTTCATCCTTATAACTCATTGCCTGGCAGTTTACACAGTGGGTGTTCAACAATATTAGACTGAATAAATGAGATGCTACATTTCTCTTTTTGGATTCTTTGACAGGCCTACATAAAGACTAGGAGCTCTAGTAGCGTAGTCCCTAAGGCACTTGACTGCTAACCAGAAGGCTGGCAGTTCAAACCCACCAGCCATTCCTCAGAAGGAAGGTTGGGCAATCTACTTCTGTAGCGATACCTCTTTGGAAACCCTTGGGGTCGCTATGATTCGGGTCCGACTCCATGGCACATAACAACAACATGACAACATAAAGACTAGAGCCTGAGATTTAATATGTAGTGTTTGGAATGGGAATTGGCTTTTACTCTGAGGTCAGAAGCCCCACAGCTGAGTACTTGGGATTATGAAAGTCCTTTTTCTATACTTCCCCAGCCTGGGCTGCACACAGGCAAATGTTACACTGCATTTTTATATTCTTTTATTTCCATTTTAATAATATTTATGTTTCCTGGGGCACATCTGTAAGTCTCAGAATATTTTATATTTTTCTATATTTTGAGAAAAAATATGCAGTTTTCACATGCAAGTTATTTTCACATACAAGTTATTTTCAGCAGGCAGTTCCTTTCCTGAAGCACAAAAGGCTAGATATGAAAACAAACAGGAGAGAAAATGTGCTGTTTTAACAAATGAGTCCTTAGAGATGGATTTCAAAACATGGTTTTAGTTTCCTGATCTAGCTTTTACCCTATCACTTCCCAGCCCTTAGAGAAATCCTGAAATAAATCAATGACATTCACACAATTTTTAAGACTGACAGTTTAATTTTTTTCCTGTTTTGTCTATGGCTATTGCCAATGGAGTTAGGTCTTATCCATGTGAAAAATTAGTTCTGTGCAAAAAAAAAAAAAAAATTGGATGTGTCTGTGTGCTTTGAGCAAATTTGTTTCTGCTAATGTTCACAACATCGTTTGCACACGGAGCTAATTATCTTCTGCTACATAATTTTAAATCATAATGCCCCACCCTCCCAAGAAAAGAAGCCCTAATTCAAACAGAAATGTGACTCATTTTATATAGCATAGTTAGAATATTTACATCTAAAATATTTTTAGCAAATAAACCATTGATTTAAAAACATTTTTGTTAAGTAAAGGACAATCTAGGAAGAGATCATTCCAGTAGAAGGGGAGAAAGGTCAAACTTATGACATTCTAGAGATGGCAACAGAAATTAAATGCTAGAACATGCATACCTTGGGATTGGCTGTTAATTTCATTTTATATTAAAAGGTACTTGTAATTCTTAAGCCCTAGTCTTTTCTAATAGATTTTTTATTTTTCATATAGCAGTTCCATGTTTTAGGTTCACAAGTATATTATTGCTTCTGTGCTCCTAGAAATTTCAGGAAATGTGGGAGAATGCAAATTTCCCAAAATGAATATATTTATTTCCGTTTTCTAAAAAATTTTGACATTAACTCCTTTTTGTATTTAATGAACTAGTATATCTTGCCTTTATGTTTGTGGATTAAAGTATTTTAGTAACTAAGGAGTTCTTATTTGCTTCTAAAAGTTGAACACCAGGATTAACAGACACAAAAGGCACAATTTAACGTACTTTAATTGGCTAAGTGTAAAGGTCAAAATTACCAAGCTTTATAGAAGCACCATTAGGAGTACAGTAGATCCCTTGTAGAAATCATGAAGGAGAGCCAGTGAAGACAGTAGCTGGAACACAAATACAAAATTTGACTTGCTATCTGTGACGAAAGCAGAGCAATTGTCAAGTTTGACATGATTGCAAAAGAATTTAGAGGGCCACCAGGTCTTTAACAACACACAATATAGCTTTGTTGCTCTTGTGTAACATGTACTGAGAAGCAAGGCATGCTATGTATTAAACAATCCACGAGATTCTTCTGAGTCCCTACCCAATGATTCTATTTCCAAATGAGGTAAGTAGGTGAGATATGTCAAGGAAACCAGAAGGCTTGATTAGTGCTCCCCTTCCAGAAATCTACAACTATCTTGAGGTATCAATGAGTATCCCATTTCAACCATTTTGCTAAAGAAAGAAGAGAGAAAATAAGTGAGAGAAAAAGTTTTGAAAGGCAAAAAAGAGGTTTTCTTTCTGAAACAAAATATACAATA